ACAGAGTTTCAAAATCCACAGAGCAAAATTCAGCAGAGCTAAAGGGAGAAGTAGACCATCTCACAATCATAGTTGGAAGTTTTAATGTTCCTCTCTTAACAACTGATAGAGCCAGTAAAGACATAGGTGATCTGAACAGCATTATCAACCATGTTGACCTAATGGATATATCTAGAATACTATACCTAAATGTGCAGCATAAATATTTTTTAAATGCACATAGTATATCCACCAAAATAGACCATATGTTAGTGGATAAAGCGGGTCTTAATTTAAAGGGAATATAGAGTTTCTTAGACCACAGTAGGGTGAGGATGGGGCACTTGAGGACCCTAGAGGCCAGTGAGGAGACAAGTACAGGTTAGATGTGGGGGGAGGGGCAGAGCACTAGGAAGAAGAGAGACGGTGAATGAGGGCACCAGTAACCCGCCCCAGACCCCAGCCTCACAGTCATTGGCTGCCACCTGCCCCCAGCGTTGCCAGGAGGGAGAGCTGCCAGCAGACTGGCCGAGGCCTCAGTGCTCAGAACAGGGTCCCTGGGCTTCCTGCTTGGCTCCTGTCTCTACCTGAGGGACAGACAGCTTGTCCACCCTGCTCTGGCCACAAAGGAGAGCGCCCGCGACGTGTGGGGTGCCACTGCAGGGTAAGCTGCTTGGGTTGGGGGCTGGGATCCAGGTGGGATCACTCTGTGCCAAGAGGGAGGGGGTGGCCAAAGCCTTTGCGAGGGAAGAGCACCCCAGAGCAGAGTGTGCTGGGGGCTCAGAGTGTGCCCTGCTCGGCCCCAACCAGGAGCCCCAACCCTTGTTCTGAGATGGCCAGTTCTGAAGGCAGTGACCCCCCCAAACCTTGCTTCCCACAGAGAAACTCGGTCAAGTGCTACACTGAAGGGGGATGGGAGGGGCTGGCAGTTTCGACTACAGCCACAGAGCCCAGAGCCACCACGATGGCCCCAGTGTCTGTGCTCAGTGACAGGACCCGTTTGGGTTTAGGTCCTAAAGAAAGGGGCCTCGGAGAGACTGCATGGCAGGCCGATATCCAGTTGCAAGGCCAGTGTCCTCATTCTGTTCCCCGAAGCCTCAGTCAGGCTGAAAGGAGGAAACGTTCAGGCCCCCAGGAAAGCTCCCAGGGGGTAGGTGGCATTGCCAGGAAGGTGCCAAGAGAGACTGAGTGAGCTGTTTCGTGCCCCAGGCCCTTGCTCCAGCTCCAGGGCCTGGCTCCTCTTCCTCTTACAGAGAAAATGGTGGCTTGGCTCAGTGAAAGCCAAAGAAAGGGAAGGGCGGCCACTTCTCCAGGTCAGGAAGCACGCAGGGGGTCAGTACTTCCTGTGGTGGGGTCTGAGGGAGGGGGAACACGCATGTGCTGGCAGCACGAGAGAGGTGAGAGAGGTAGTACTGTCCAGTGGTTAAGGTCAAGGGCACAAGACCTTAGTCAACTAGGGTTGAATCCTGGTTTTTTCACTTACTAGCTTGTAACCTTGGCAATCCCTGTAAGCCTTGGTTCCCCTATCTGTAAAATGGGAACGAAAACAACTATTTCATGACAGTCATTAGGGCTAAATGGTGCTTTAGCACAGGTTTTTGACAATAGATACTATTATTTTTATGGATGGAGCATCACATATGGACCCAGAGCCTCTGTCTGAAGGGGCATCTCCTCATCCAGACCCCGACTCAAATTCCAGGGCCCCGCTGATGGCGGCCCAAGTCCCCATCCTTCCACCACCACCACTGGGGAACTTTATAGAGGGAGAGTCAGGTGGGGGCCCTGCTCACCAGGGACTTTCCAGCCTGGTGAGCTCAGGGGCAAGGGTCACAGGGAGGCAGCCGGCCTGAGGGCCCATTGTTCTTCTCTGCGCTGAGAAGGATGCACTGTCCCCACCTCTCTTTCCCTCAGCCTGACCTCTGCACACTCAGGAGCAGACCAGAGAGAAGCAAACACTGCCCGGCTCTCCTTGTCCAGCTCACAAGGAGCGCTCTGTGCCTCACAATGGTCCTGTGAGGCCCAGCCTTCCGAGCTTATTGTCCCAAGTTCACAGATGAGGAAGTTGAGGCCCACAGGGAGGAAGTGGCATGTTTGATGTCCCACAAAGAGAAGTGGCTCGGTCAGGACTCGGCCTCCCAGTCCCGGGACTGCAGCACAGGCCGGCGGGCACACGCAGGGTGCACAGCCTGGGGGGGTCCATGGGAGGGGCAGTGGCCAGGACCCTCCCTCCTCCGCAGCCAGGTGGTGATAGCTGGGTTTTGGGATTTTTTCTCCCTAGATGAGCTTCACATCCCTGGTAACTGTGTTATGCCCAGATCGCGATCTCCCCAAAATCCCAAGACCACCAAGGAGTCCGAGTCACGTATGCAAAAGCAAAGGGCGTTTATTCGGGCTTAAGCTCGGGCTCCCAGACCTCACCAACACACTGGATCGTGCTGAGAGCCCCGAGCAAAGGCAGAGTAGGGTTTTTATGGGGTTTGTGACGGGGGAGTTACAGAAGTTGTGGCAGGGGAACAGTGATCCAATCATAATTATTCAACATTATTGACAGCGGGTTTAACCATGCACATTGTCTAGAGTATTCGTTACTTTTGGCGGGATCCAATGACAACATATAGAGTACCTTTAAATTCAGCCAATCACAGAGCGAGCCTAGGGTCTTGTTCGGCGACTAACGGGTTAACTTTAACATTAGGTAACAGGGTCCTATCTATAGTTTCTATCTCCAGGTCTCTCCCTCAGTAAAGTGGAGGGTGGTCGCTGGCCTTTCCTGATTGGGTGCTGCAAGGGTGGTTTCTCCTGCCTTGGGCAACGTGTCACTGCCTGATAGTTTCGGGGAAGCTGGAACTTAGGCCTTCTAGTTTTGTTTTTTTTAATTTTTTTCTATGTTTTATTTATTTCTGAGAGAGACAGACAGCGTGAGCAGGGGAGAGAGGGAGACACAGAATCTGAAACAGGCTCCAGACTCCGAGCTAGCTGTCAGCACAGAGCCTGACGCGGGGCTCGAACCTATGAACTGTGAGATCATGACCTGAGCTGAAGTCAGACGCTTAACCGACTGAGCCACCCAGGTGCCCCTAGGCCTTCTAGTTCAGAGGGGAAACTTAAAGCCTGTCATGGAGTCAGTTTGGTTTAGACGTTTAGACTTGTGTCCTTACAACTGGAGCAGAAGTCCTGGGCGTGTCTTGTTTTCTCCCCAGGTGGGATGTCTGCTGTCCCTACAGGGGCCGGGATGCAGCTGTGCCGGCTACTTGGCCTAATGATAAAGTGGGGAGAGGGAAGCCTTCCCTGCTGGGAGGATTGAGGGAGAGCATGACCTAAGGCCACAGGACTGTGCACATGACTGTGGTCTCCTGAAGTCAGGGAGATGGAACGGGAGAGACCAGAACCTAGGGTGACTCATAATCCAGGTTTTCCTGGATACCAGATATTGTTTTAAAACTGGAATGTTCCAGGCAAACTGGGATGAGTTGGTCACCGGAGTCTTCCCCACAGCTCCCAGTGTGGGAAGATGGGACTCACCCAGGAATAAGCAGAGGAGACACAAGACTGGAGCCAGGAAGGAAGCCGAGTGTTGGGGGATGGGAGAGACACAGCCACCCTGTGGTCACCACTCCCTAAAGCAGCCTGGGGCAGCCCGGCTCCTCTTTTGCGTAGGAGTCCTTCCCCTCCCCGTCAGATCTGCTGGAGTCACGCCCCTCCCTTCCAACAAAGATACCCAGAGACCTGGGGAGCGGGGAGGCAGGCCAGGGGTTGTCCACTTCTTTCTCCCAGGTCCTCTGCCAGCTGGGTGCTCAACACGCCCTACTTCCGCCCCCTTTCCAGGCACTGAGGCCTCGTCTCAGCCACGGGCCAGGAGACCATCCTTCCAAGTTCCCAGAGCACTCTCCGCCCAGAACATAGGACAGACCTCAACTAAATGGGTTTCTTACTTCCTTCTGGAGGAAAGGGAGGCAAAGGTGATCAGACACAGAGTCAGGAACACTCACATTACGCCGTGTGCACTCCAGCGTGTGGAACCTCCGTGGGCCTCAGTTTCCTTATCCTGAAAACAGGGATACTTGTACCCATCTTGCAGAATTGTAGTAAGCATCAAACAAGCAGCTGCCCCTTGGGAATTTGCTGCGGGGGCTGTGGGAGGGGACTCAGTCCACTCAGCCTTGGTCTAGGGTCCAGATTTCTGTTTCTTCAGGACTTCTGCCCAAGTCAGGTACATGCAGCCCCTGGTGTTGCCTCCAGGGACTGGCAAGATGGGGGATCTTTGAGGAAAAGGGTGGAATGGAGAGGCTGGAATTTAAGATGAGAAGAAAACACTGGATGAGGAGGAGGCCCCAGTTGCTGGGAACTCAGGGCTTCTTGGTGGTGGGTCAGGGCAGGATTTGTCCATCGCGATGTCCAGGCCTCTGGCGTTCCTCAGCACACGGAGGCAGGTGTGGGTTAGTGAAGCCTCACCCCAAGCCAGGTCCCCACTGCTGTCTGGTGGAAGAAACCAGCACCCCTGCCGGGCAAAGAGGTCTGGTCCCTGCTTCCTCTCGGGCCCTGACCGGCGGGGGGGGGGGGGGGGGGTGTCCGTACCATTAAGTTCTTCCTCTCTGAGGCTTTCCTGGGGCAGCACTGGGAGGCCGTGGAGTTGGACGGCAGGGAGCCTGAGCCGGGAGACCCCTTCCTGTTCAGGCTGTTGTTCACCGCTGGACACTCGTGGGCATGTGCTGTGGCCACGGGGAGATCATCCACTTCGAAGGTGAGTATCTCCAGCTGAAACATTGGCCCTGGTCTGTGAAGAGAGGCCGCCCATCCAAGCTGTGTTCTACCAGTGAGCGGGGCACATGAGAATGCAAACTGCAGGTCCCCAGCTGGAGGGGCGGGTCTCTGAAGATGGGCGCTTGGGCACTCAGGCTCTGGGGTTCAGGGTCCCCTGGGCCCTGGGAGATTTGGATGAAGGATCATGGTGCTAGGGTCACAGGAATATCCCCAGCCACAGGCCTCACATGTCTCTGTACTGTGTTGTATCCAAACAGGGGCAGCACCCTCTACTGTGGCGTGTCTTGCATGGACGTGGTGGCCTTGACCGTGCAGCTCTGGAGTGCCGCGGGAAGCAATGGACTCAGACCCACCTCCCCCATCACCCCACGCACAGCAACAGTGTGCACTTTGCACTGGGTCTGCTCGGCTCCGGGTCCGAGTCCAGGGCCCATCCTCGAACCCCTAAGATAGATGGCAGTCCTACTAGCTGGGTGAGTGTGGCCCACCTACCCAGGCACGACCCCAGCCCGCCCCCGGAGCTAACCAGTGTGCTCCCGCAGAATTCATACTGCCCCTCCCTGCCCAGGCCATGCTCCTCAAAGTCAAGATCCATTTTACTCTGGCAGACCCACAGCACCTGGAAACAAACCAGGCCTGCCAACTTGGCAAGGTTCCACTTCTCTGAAACTCTTTTGGGACCATCCAGGAAGGCCCCAGCTCACAGATCCCAGGCACATCTATTTCCTTCAGCCTACCCACTTCCAAACCCAGGGGCTGGTCCTTGTAAACCCCCATGCCCGTTCGTCCAGCGGAATCTACCTACGAAGCCATCTTTCTGTGCCCACAAATTCTGATTCTGGAGACATTGGGACCCTAGTCTATAGATCAAGACTCAGCCCTAAGAACTCTTCCACTCTCCACATCAAGACCTCTTCACCTTCTCCTACAAGCCCAGCAAGAGACCCAGCCATCCAACCCGATGCCCCAAACCCAGGCCCAACTAGATCCCATCCTTTCCCCACCCTGGTCACTACTTTCTCTCTAGGTCCAGGCGGTCTTTCCTTGGGAGAAGTGGGGTGTGTTTGGGGCCTTCGGATCTGAGCTGGAGGCCTCATGTGATCCAGGAGTCCTGGCTGTCACACCAGACCTTAACCCAGCCCTCTCCCTTCCTTCCTAGGTGTCAGTGGACACGAACTTGACTGTGGACTAGGTGTGACCTCAGGCCATCCTGAGTGGGCGTGGAGGCTTCAGAAATGGTCATTAAACTATTTTGCAAAGCTGAATTTGGGGTTCACTGTCCCTTCTATTCAGTCTCTCTTTCTCTACCCGAAGCCTGCTGTAGGTTTCTCTCTTGGACCAGACTTAAATGTCACCTCCAGCTAGAGGAGAAACCAAGACACCGTCAGAGGGGCCCGGGTTTTGCAGGAAAGATGGAGCTGGGAGAGGGAGCGTCTTTGGTCTCTGAAGTCGCAGGATGCAGTGCCTCCTTCCTGCTCTAGGACCCCCAGCCCTGTGGCACAGCCTTCTCTTCAGTACCCTGCTTTCCTTCCACTGCGTGGGCGAGCATCCGTGACTGTGTCGGGAACGAGCGGAGTCCGTGGGGGCCCCTCCACCGAGACCCTGTGGTCGGGGGTGGGGGTGGAGAGGGAAGGCCTCCTACACCTCCCGGAAGGCCGTCTCATCCTCGGTCCAGCGGTCTCCGCCCACCCCCGGACCCGGAGGCGCATCACGTCCCTCTGAAGCAGGAACCTCCCTGAGGGCGAGGGGGAAGAAAGGCGGGGGTTTCCGAGGGATTCGGGCGGGGCCAGCCCTGCGGCTCCGCCCCGCCCCCTTCGCGGACACGCCCTCCGCTCCGCAGGCGCCGGTGCCTTTAAGAGCTTAGCTTCCCGGCGCGGCCCTGATTGATAAATCCGCGCGCTGCGTCCGCCCGCGCAGATTGCGGCCTCTGCGCAGCCGGCCGTGCGCTCGCCTCCTCGGCCCCAAGCAGCACCCCGGCCGCGCGGCCTCCGCCCCCGCGGAGCGCTCGCCCCCGCAGCCCCATGTCGGCCGCCCCCGCCTACGGCGAAGACAAGGGCGGCTCCGCCGGCCCCGGGGAGCCCGAGTACGGCCACGACCCCGCGAGCGGCGGCATCTTCTCCTCCGACTACAAGCGGTGAGGGAGCGCGCGGCGCGCCGGCACCATGGACAGCGGCCCGGCCGCGCGGCCCGGAAGCCCGCCCTGCCCCCCCGCCCCCGCCGCCGCCGCCGCCGCCGCCCGGTCCCCGCCCCGCCCCCTCCGTCCCGCCGCCGCCCGACCCTCGGCGCTCCTGGGCCCCGCGCCGCGCCCCGCCCGAGGGCCCCCCGGGACCTGGGGAGGGGCTGGAGGCGGGCGGGGGATGGGCGCACCCTCCCGCCCCAGGCGTGCCCGCTGGGGTGGGTTTGCACGACCGATTCCCCGCCTTTTTCGCGCGCGGCGAGCTGGCTCCTGAGGACGGCGTGGGAGGGGGCAGAGACCCTGAGGTCCAGCGTGGGGCCCCTCCGGAAAGGCCGGCCCAGGGTGTGACTCAGAACCGCCTCGGCCCGGCCCCTCGTGCAAACCCCTGTCCCTCACTCTGGCCCCACACTCGCTGCCCCGGGCCGCCCTCCCGCGTTGCCCCTGGACTTCAGCCCCGCCTGGACTTCCCACTCTTCCCCTCCACCTTGGCCTCATTCGTTGGCTCACTCGTTTATTTGTAAATCCCGAAACCAGCATTTTTCAGGGGCTGTTGCGTCGATTCTCATCCCAGCCACTGTGAATCCAGGCGTGAACCTGAACCGGCCCCCACCCTCTGGCCGCTCTAGAGGGGAGCCCCGGAGGAGGAATCCGTGTGGGCGGGGTGGGCAGCCGGAGGGGTGCGGAGAGCTGGTCCCCGGCCCTGCAGAGCAGGTAGAGGGGAGAGTGAGGCGCGTTCCAGGCAGAGGAAGAACTTTTAGGCAGGTGAGGAGACGGAGAGCCAGGTCACAGTTTTGCAGGTGACGGTACCGAAGGCCCGAAACGAATCGCTGTGCAAGCCTCTGGAGTGACCAGAAATGAGGGGTGGGGAGGTGCCAAGGGAGTGAAGAGCCCTAACCACGGGTTATCAGATTTGCATTTTAGAATGATTCTAAGCTGGATTGTGGAGCGGAGATTGAGGTGTGCTGGTTTGAGCAGGAGACAAGAAGGGGAGGGGGGTTTGAGGTGGGGGGGAAGCGGACATAATGGTGGGCTAGACTATGGGGGGGGGCAGAGGATCTGAGGGCTATTGAGGCTGTAGAAGTCACAGACCTGATGATTAATTGGGGGGAGAAGATAAGGATAATACTCAGGTTACTATTTCTTGTAACTGGATAGATGGTGGTTGCTGTACAGTGTGATTGAAAATAAAGATGTTACTTACAAGCAAATTCGGGAAAATAATGGTGAGCCCCACTTTTGACAGGCTGAGATGGTAAACTGAGGGATATTCAAGCCTAGGAGGTAGCTGGATTTTAGGATTTGACTTTCAGGAGAGATTATTAATATATGTGTGTTAATCAAAGCCCCAGAAGAAAGTTAAGATAACCCAGGGAGAATAGAAAATGAGTTCAGGGGTGCCTGGGAAGCTCAGTTACTTAAGCGTCTGACTTCCGCTCAGGTCATTATCTCACAATTTGTGGGCTCCCCCCGCCCCCATCTGACTCTGTGATGAGAGCTAGAGCCTGGAGCCTGCTTCAGATCATGTGTCTCCCTCTCTCTTTCAAAAATAAAGATTAAAAATAAATAAATAAATGAAATAAAATTAGTTTAGACAGCACACAGGTATGAACCCTAAAGACACCTTAGAGATGACCAGAATGCAGGGCAAAGGTGTTTCAAGGTTACTGAGAAAGTAAACCAAAAGCTGGAGGGAAACATGTTTCCAGAAGGAGGAAGTCATCAGCAATGTCAACTCAAACAAGGGAAAGAAATCACGACCACTGATTTCCCAGAGAGCAGGTCAACTCCTCCTTGCTCCATGTCCCACCTCCTGTCCTGGGGACCAAGTCTGGCAAAATCAGAACAGAAGGAGCTAGATTATTTTCCCCCAACATTCTATCATGAACAATTAAACATTTTTTTATAGTTTATTTTTATTTTTGAGACAGAGACAGAGCATGAGCAGGGGAGGGGCAGAGAGAGAGAGGGAGACACAGAATCTGAAACAGGCTCCAGGCTCTGAGCTGCCAGCACAGAACCCCATGCGGGGCTCGAACCCACGAACCAAGAGATCATGACCTAAGCTGAAGTCGGACGCTTAACAGACTGAGCCACCCAGGCGCCCCTATCATGAACAATTTTAAACATACAGAAAAGTTGAGTGGATAATGCGAGGAGTACGTGTATGCCCCACACCTAGATCCATCCCTGGTTGATCCTGCTGTATTTGCTTTTTCTAACCATCTAATCATACAGATTTTTTGGCTGAACCATGTAACTTGCAGACATCATGGCCCCTCGGCCCTAAATTCTGATTTTTAAAAAAAAATTTTTCTTTTTAATGCTTATTTATTTTTGACAGAGACAGAGACAGAGAGACAGAATGTGAGCGGGGGAGGGGCAGAGAGAGACATAGAATCTGAAGCAGGCTTCAGGATCTGAGCTGTCAGCAAAGAGCCTGGATGCAGGGCTCGAACTCACCAACCAGGAGACCATGACCTGAGCCGCAGTTGGTCGTTCAACCAACTAAGCCACCCAGGCGCCCCCTCTTTTCTTTTTTATAAGCTTATTTATTTATTTTGAGAGAAAGAGTGAATGGGGGAGAAAGGGAGAGAGAGAATCCCAAGCAGGCTCTGTGCTGTCCATACAGAGCCTGACGCGGGGCTCCACCCCACGAATGATGATGAGATCATGACCTGAGCCAAAATCAGAAGTTGGACACTTAACCGACTGACCCTCCCAGGCGCCCCAGCCCTAAATTCTAATCAGCATCTAAAGCCAGGTTGGAGTGAATAGAGGAGCAAATAGGAGGTGAGTAAATAAAACCCAGCCGATGGGAAATTTGCTTTCAAGAAGTTTGTAAAGGGGAGAGAGAAAGAGTTGCTGGAGGAGAGAATTAGTTCCAGAAGGTTTGTTGTTTGTTTATTTTATGTTATTTTTGTTTACTATTAGGATGGGAGAGCCTGGAGCAATTCTAACTGCTGATGGAAGGAACCAGCAGTGCGGGAGAGGGAGAGGCCGAGGGAGAGGGAGAGGCCGAAGGCGAAGGCGGCCTGGGTGACGCAGGCCCCCCCCCCCCCCCCCCCCCCCGCTTGGGGGAGGATCACTCTGCCCCCGGGGATGGGGGAGGGGGGCAGGAGCAGAGGAGACATGGGTGTCTGGAGGTGCAGGGGATTTTATCTAAGGCCTTTCATTTTCTGTGAGAAGCAAGTGTTGAAGTAAGAGCCAGGCCGTGGGTGGGGATTTGAGGCACGTCAAGGGCGTCTGAAGCCACCTGCTCCTGGCAGGGAAGGGGCGGTACGGACAGAAGGCCACGGGTGTGAGTGAGAGGGCGGCCGGAGGGGTTACCTGGGGGGCCTGGGCCAGGTAGTGGGGGGAGCAGACGTCAGACAAGGCTGACAGGAAGGAAGGAGTCTGGGACCTGGCTCTGGGTTCAGCAGGATTTCTGAGGAAGAGCGGTTCTGGGGAGACAGAGGTCCAGATGAGGCAGGAGAGCGGAGGTGCAGAGGCGTCCCTTACCTCTGTCTGGATCAGCTCCCCTGACCCTCCCCCTCTTGAGTGCTCATCTCTGAGCGGTGAGCAGAGAACCAGAGCCTCCTCCCTGCCAGTGTCCGGTTACTGAGTCCTCCTCGGAGGCGGGCCGTCTGGTAACCGGGACAGGCGTCCTCGGTTCCCTGGTCAGCTGGGCCTCATCTCAGAGCAGGACCTGGTGCCCAATGCAGCGACTCCTGCAGCTCCCGGGGGCCGTGGGGAGGCCGGGGGGCAGAGGGGCCCGCGGGGCGGAGCAGGAAGCCGCCAGCCCTGTGCTGGGCCCCGAAGGCGGGCCCCCACCCTGGTACCAAGCCTTGCAGCCGGAGGAGCTCCGGTGGCTGCAGGCCCCAGAGGAAGACACGGCCCCCGAAGCATCTCTGGAAGGGTCCTGCCCAGAGCCCGGCCAGGGCCAGGGCCAGAGCCAGAGCCAGAGCCAGCCGCTAAGGTACAGAGGAACTCCCAGCTACCGTCACCCCGGTGCCAGGAAGGCCAGAGGCCCGGCTCTCCGCTGAGGCCCCCCACGCCCCACCGACTCCGGAGGGGGTCTAGGCTGGAGGGGCGTCAGGGGCACCGTGTGGG